AACTCGGAGGCCTCTAAGAACATTTTTGTCATCCTAATTTTAGCTTGGCTGAGATGATAACCAATAACTCTCAGGCAGAGGGACATAAGAGGCTTTGGGTTTCATTCATTCTCAGAAGCCTGTCCTGGACTTGATTTGACTGGATGACCTTAGAAATTTGCCAGGCTTTTTTTTTTTTAATCAGTTGCTTCTTCCTCTCTCTTGTCTTGCCTAATAAATATAATAGATCTGTTTCAAATGAAGCATGCAGTTTCGGACGATTTACACAAGCATGCTGACTTTTTTCTTTTTTTAAAAAAAAGATAATGATTTGATTTCAGTAACAATCCGCCACGTAAACCCAGGAATAAGAATCCTGCCTGCCATTAACTTTTTCTCTGCCAAATTTTATAGAGCCAGTTTGTTGTTGCGAACAATGGAGAGTTTTTTTTCCCTTCTCCTGAGCAGTTAGAAAGGAGGCCTGCTTACAGTGGTGCATTTCAAATATTTTCACCACCGGTTCGGTGGGTGTGGCTTGGTGGGCGCGCTTTGCGCACATGCGCACACCAAGCACACACTTTGCACAGGCGCAGAGGTTTTCTGACTCACCTCCTGCAATCCTGCGCTCTCCCTGTCGCTTCAGCAGCTGCCGCGCAGCAATGTGCTGTGCCGCGCAAAGCAGCTGCACTTCAAAAGCAAGGAATAAAAGTTAGGAATAAATGGGAGCCCAGGCAGGTGGGTGGGCCCAACAGTAAAGTGTCAGAGAGAACCGATTCAGTCTCCACTGCTCATCAGCGCTCCCGGCTCATCAGAACCGGGCCGAACCGATAGAATACCACCACTGTATCTGACTCCTTAGATCAGGAGCCTCCAAACTTGGCAATTTTAAGGCTTGTGGACTTCACCTCCTAGAATTCTTGTCAGCCATGCTGGCTGGAGAATTCTGGGAATTGAAGTCCGGAAGTCTTAAAGTTGCCAAGTTTGGAGACCTCTGCCTTAGATTTTGTTCTGTAACTAGTGATTGTTAAGCAAGAAACATGGTTTGGGGAGGTCATACTCTCCTTTGTATATCAACCCACAGCACCAATATTTGGGATTCTGGAATTCATCCCGGGATGACATTAACATTTTTCTGAAAGCAGTTTGTAAATGGAATGTCTTCCTTCTGGAGGCCTTTTCCGTAATGCTGATGTTCTTATTTGGAATAAGGGTGGAGCTTCTTCAACTCTGTGTCTCCCATTGTGGACAATCTCTCCATGGAAGAGGAAGAAACCAAAGCCCTAAACTCCTTCACAGGAACTCCACCCACTGACTGGGATAGGGATCTGGTCGATACTTGGGTCAAGATTAAAACTCAGGAATTGATGGCCCTGTGACTTGCTCTACAATATGCCCTTTGTATTTTCCAGCAGGGGACCAAAACCCATATACTTCCTTTTGCTATCTTCATATGGCCAGAGATAGAGATAGACAGAGATACAGAGGAGAGATATCAGATAAATAAGGCAGATTAGGGAGGCAGGTAAGTAGATAGGTATGCACATGCACACACAAACACACACACGGGGGGGAGTAGGTAGGCATATAGCTAGACAGATAACGAGAGATGGTAAGAAAGAGATGATGGATGGATGCATGGAGAGACAGACAGACAGACAGACAGACAGACAGACAGACAGACAGATAGGAAATAGGGAGGTGGAGAGATAGATGGATGGATGGATGGATATGGATGGAGAGAGAGAGAGAGAGAGAGAGA